CAATCAGCCGTCATTGTGCTGCAACCAAAGTCCAAATGGCACTTATAGAATTAAATGTACGGTATGTATAAGTAGCATAACATATACTATATAGCTTTGATTGTATTTGGCATATAAATAATGCACAAATATATTAGCCAGAAATGAGCAAAAACAACTTACATAAGCCGCGGCCAGAGCCATGACAACTGGTATAGCAAAATGCGTTGCCGAGGATTAAGGCGGACCGGGTCTGATTCGCAGACACGCGACCAGCAAAACATATGCCAATAAAATGAGTGCAGTATGGGTAGTTGGGCAGTTGGAGTTAAAATTGGGGTGTGGGGGTGCAAAAATAAAGAAACGGATCAGCGACAACAACACGCAAATGGTATGCACAAAAATAAACTGATAAGCGACAGACTGAAACAACAATGGTCGGCTGACCGTTGGGGCTCAAGCGAGTGAGCCCCCAACTGGCATCGAATTATGCAAAAGTCCTGGCCAGTGAAAATATGTTGCATGCGACGACGGCAAACAAATAAACAACACAGCCGGCAAAACCGACCAACCAACAAACCAACCAACAAACAAACAGTCAAATAAACTGACGCTCTTTTGTGCTCTGTGGCAGTAGAGGCATGTGGCAAGGGCAGGGCCAGTGGCAGCAGCAGGAGCAGGAGCAGGAGCGACCAACGTGGAGCCCATCAACACTGACAAATGAATGCGAGACTTTGGGGGAACGAGAAAGAGAGATATAGAGAGCGAGGGTCGCGATGGCAATGGAAATCAATTATTCATTCGCTTGGCCACGCAGCTAAAAAGTATGCAAAGCATGCGGCACAGCGCCGACGCCCAATGGTATGCAACAGTTTTTGGAACTGGCAGCAGAAATAGCAGACAATGACAATGACAGTGACGATGAGGATGACCATGATGACTATGATGACATTTGTTTGTGTTTGCTTTGCGCCAACTGTGATTAAAGGGTCGCCCTACGGTACGTGCAAACGAAGTTTAATTTAACAGCAGCAAGTAGGAGAGGCTGCTAATTAAATTTGGCCACCGGCGACGGCGACGGCGTCGGCGTCTGTATCGGCGACAGTGATGCACAGATAGGCGCATAAGCTTTGATTCTACTCCAACTTAAACCGCTTTCTTTGTCGTTGCTAGCATGCTTTCAGGCGTAAAGTGTTTGATTATGGTCATTTATTGTGCTGTACTTCGAAGGCTACTGCTACTGGGCTGCCGCTTCGCTGGCTTTGCATCTATGCCTGTGCGTCTACTTTTCTATCCACACACACACACACTCACACAAACACACACTCCAACTCTGCCATTTCGTTTGTCATGCATCAGAAGTTTGTCGCTACATGTGTGTGGGTTTGTGGCAGGGGCGAAGGGTTGCTATGGATTTTCGGTTTTCAGCCTGCCATGTTTGTGTCTGAAAGCGCGATTAAAATCGCATACATCACGGCCCTGGAGTTAGTGGTATGCATGGGACACGGGAGCTGTATGGGTACAGAGCAGTAGCCAGACAGACAAACGTGGCTGGGCACTAATTTGTGTGCAATCGCGCATTTAAGCGCTGTTGTTTATTAATGCATTCGTTTACCGAGTCAATGTAATGAAAAATTTACGCTGCAACTTTCGGCGCTGTTTGATAAATCAACACCAACAGCAACAACAACTGCAAATCTGAATGCACTCGCATGTGAGAGTGTAATAGAACCCGCCCCCGCCCCCGCCCCTACTCCATAGCTTTTGACTATTTGCACTCGCCGCGCACGTTCTTCAGCATTCATTGCCATAGACTGAAAACACCAAAGGGAGGAAAAAAGAGAAAACTAAAAAAAAAAAAACACGCGAGTTAATTAAGCCGTCATGAACTGAAAAAACACGTGACATGGAGCTACATCTACATATGCATGTGTGTGTGTGTGAGTGTGTGCAGCCTGCGGCAAGTCAAAGGAAAAAGCGCCAAACAAGTTGGCTTTCACATGGCTTCGGTCGGCATGCGCCAGAAAAAGCAACTGGTGAACATTTTGAGATGGTTTAAAAATGCACTGGTATTGGTTTTTTGCCTCGCACTATCAAGCATACGTATTCGAATCTAATTTCTTATATCAATATCGGATTACACAATGTTCAAATTAAAACCTTAAATTCAAAACTAAAAATTTTATGAGATTCTATGAATAATAATCAAATAATGAAAAACTTAAAAGACATAAGTACATCTGATAGGAATGAAAACAAACTAAACTACTAAACCTATCCAATATTGTGCTTTTTAATACTTTATGAATGCAAATCAAATGTCATAACTGACTATAGCCCTTTGAGTTGATCAATTTAATATTCCTTGATTTCATTCATGATATACTCCAATTAATAAATTTAAATTACAATTTAAAGAAGTAATTGATCAAATTATTAAATTAAAATATTTTGTAATTTTGAATATTGGTAAAATTTAAGTAATTTCTACATCAAAAATGTATTTTATTATCTTTGCTTTACAAATTAATTGATTTTCAACATCATGCGAATAGTATATACATATTTTTTGCATATTTGCGTGCATAACTACATTTTTTTGTAGTTCATTTTTTCTGCATATTGATAATGTAATATGATTTTTATACAAGTACATAATATAAACTTGATTTATCCATTACTTTGTCAACAGCTAAGTGAAAAAACTTGAATTAAAAAGTACTAGACTTTTATCGACCCTTGTTCAAGAATTTCCCAGTGGCTTCTTCTTATACAAAAATTCCCCATAATTATGAAATTCATAATGGGTGGACATTTTGATATTAAAGGACCGACCTTGTGCATAAAATAGTGTGAAATACATTTCGTATAAATGCACCCTGGCTGGTAAAACTCCGAAATTTGCACAAGGGTGGTTGGGCAAGATATTATATAGAACGGAACACCACCAAAATTGGCAAAAAAGGGAAATTTACAAACCGTTTTCCATGTATTATTATATAAATTAAAGTTGATATTTCCCGACTCGGAAATACTTTGTATCAGTCGAATATTTCACCGCTACGTGGCGTCCATTTCAGAATGACAACAATGCTTTGAAAGCGGCCATAACTTGCGATAGCTAATATAGTCGATTTTCATTAAAATTAAAAGAGCAATAAATTAATCTGTTGTTTTATAATTGTCTACAGTATCGATGAAATTAATTAGCGAAGGACAGGTGGGAAATATTAAAAAATTAAATAAATTCATGCTGATTTGCCGAATCAACATACAAATCAACCGACCACACGTTCACACAGACAAGCAAACAGAGGCGCTTATCTAGACACTTCAAGTCTTGGATTGCAACGTACTCGTAGACTCGAAAGTTTATAACAAACATTAAACCAAAGTTATAATTATAATACCTTTAATATACGTGTAATCAAAAGTTTCTGCAAAAACTCAGGTAATAAATGTGAAAAAACAATAAAAGATAACATGAGTCAACATATGGTACAAAAAAAGCAAACAACAGCAAAACCTTGTGTTAACTACTTAGGCGTTACTTTAAAGAGCAAACATAGAGGGTAGGTTTTGGAGGTACACGCGCCGACAAATATCTCAACCAGTTTCTGGCCTAACTGGACTATGCTGTATTCATTACCATATCGTTATGACATACTATATACACACTACAGCTATGAATTTATGCTACCATATAGACAGTTATATTTCAAAACACGAAATCATTGGCCGATTCGCACATACTCGTACAGTTACAGTTATCATACTATATAACGACAAGTCCTAATCTTGACTATAAAGCAATTATTACGTCATTTCATATCGCAAAAGATGGTCTAAAAATTGTCAAGATGTAGACAACACACGCGGAATTAATTTTCTAGTACATACGAGTATAGTATATGCATATTCGTCTTCAACATCGACCGCTTACGTACCATGCTGAGGCACTTATCAGTGCGAGAAACACAACAATTGGTACCATAACGTAATTTGATTTGATTGCTAACTGAGAGATCGTGTGAAACTGTCACGTCATCGCCAGACAAATTCTCAATTCTCCTGCACGCGCCCGACAATTCTCTCTCTCTCTCTCTCTCTCTATTTTGTCATTTGAATTTGTTATCGTGTAGCTGCTAATCAGTGTTTATTGACCTATAGCTGTCGGCGACACTTTGACTTATATCCAGAGATTGCCGATAGATCCCATATTTTTCGGTCAATCATGAATGAAATAAATGAGTTTACACGCACTTTTAATTGGTAGTCAAGTCTGGTAGTTGACAGCATGTTTTTATGCCAAACGGACTATAATATAGTCGCATTATACTTTCGAAAAAAAACTCATTAGTGTATTGTTTTATTATTTAAACAATGACGGTGCGCTAAAGCGACAAAAAAAACTAAAGTGAAGAGCGTAAAAAACCTGCTCTCTACACGAACTTTTTGTTGCACAGTGAGCTAAACGCTCCAGTTATATATATATATTTACTATTCGACATTGCTAGGAATTAATCGAAAATAGATCGTTGTTATTTAGATAACAATTCACATTGTTGCGAAATCTTAGCAGTAGAGTCAGCAAAAGTTAATTTATAATAAATTGAATGAAATGTTAATTAAGTCAAGTCCACCTATCTAAAATGATCTTCATGTACATTACTAACTAGCTAGATATATAAAAACTCCAGCAATTTATTTCAATTATTTTTAACAGTCGGAATGACTAGTTCCACTCTGCAGGTGACACACATTCCAGTCTATTATTTGGAGTTATTATTCAGTTTGGTTGTCACTTCTTCGATTCCGTGTGATGACTAAATTATTAAAAATTTTTTCTCTATCGTAAGCCCACTGTGCCTTGCCATTGTTAAAGTCGTCAATTTTTTTGTGCGATGATAAGCGAGAGTGGGAGCGCAGGTTTCAGAAATTGTGCCCGAAAATACAAAACTATAAACTATTAAGTATATAATGCTGGACTATGTCGTTTGCGGCACAGTCGAAAAGAAAGCGTTGCTCGTGAAACACGACCAAAATACTGCGCCGTAATTTGGGGATAACGTGAGAGTCTAATCAGCAAGATGGTGGTGGTTAAGAACCTGCAGAGCATAACCGTGCCCGATTACCTTACCGAAGAGTTCTTCATTCAAACGCTCGAGGAGGGCTTGCATGAAATGAAAATAACACTACACGAAGTCAATTTCGAATGGGGCAGCAATCCAGGTGACAATTACTGCTCGGCAATCTATCGTGTGCTCGTGAGCTTCACGCGTTGGGCCGAAGGAAAACCATTGGATCACAAAGAACAACGATCGTTGATTGTGAAAACCATACCCATTACGCCCGACACACAGTTTCTGGAAGATGTCAAAGTATTCATGAAAGAGAAGCAGACATACACCAGCGTGCTGCCTCGGTTGGAGGTCTTGAGCAATGGCGACAAGTTCGGTGCAAGGTGAGTTGCGTGGGAAAACGATAATATGAAGAAACGGAGATAATTTGACCCAATTAAAGCTACTACTACGCAATCAAAGAGCCCATTCAAACCATCGTCTTTAATGACTTGAAAGTGGACGGGTATAAAGTGGCATCGCGTGTGGACGGCTTAGATTGGGCGCATGGCTCATTAATTCTACAACAACTGGGCAAATTTCATGCCACCTCAATGGTCCTGGCCAAGAAGGTATTTATCGTAATTTAAAATAAAATAAAACATCTTTAATTTAACGCTTCTTTTTCCCTGCAGGACCCCACAATTGTTGGCCAATATGCCAAAGGTATGCTGAGCGAGGAAACCGTAAAGATGAGTGATTGCTTCGAGAACATGTTCGGTGGCTTCTTGGAGTACCTCGTAAAAACGTCGGCCAAATGGCCGGGCTACGAACACATCTCTAAGCATTTGCAGCGATTTAAGGATAATTTCAGGGATGTGTGTGTAGCCGCATCCAAGCCAAAGCCGGGCGACCGTTATGTGGTCCTAAACCACGGAGACATGTGGACCAATAACTTTATGTACGCCTACGACGACAGCTCTCAAACAGAGGTGCCCACACGCGCCATTTTTGTGGACTTCCAGATCAGTTTTTACGGTAGTCCTGCCTGTGACTTGAACTTCTTCCTGAACACCAGCTTAAAGCTGGAGTTAGTCCAGCAACGTCGCGAGGAACTTATCAAAGTATACTACAAAGCCTTTAGAGACACATTAGAATATGCGCGATTCGAAAAAATACCTAGCTATGAGGATCTGCTCTATGAGCTGCGTAGTCGAGAGACCTATGGCCTGTTTGGACTTTTCGCATTCTTGCCGATGATCACGATGCCCAAAGAGCTGTCACAGGACAACAGCATTGAGAACATGAACAATCCAGAGTTTAAGCGAAAAAAGTTCGAAGCAATTTTCGCACAAAAAACTCTCAACGACTATCACAAATGGGCGCTAAAGCGCGCTGAGGAAGTGGGCGTATTCAACGATTACTAGGGGAACAAATGGGATTGAGATTTGTGATACAATTATCCAATGATTTGTAAATATATACATTAAAGTTAAGAGGTATTAAAATGTTAATTCAAAATATCCCATTCAATAATAGGAACATTTGAACTTGCAATACTAAATTACAGCTGAATGGAACTTATTACTTGAACACTCTTGAAATATGTGTTAAAAGTTTGATATGCTAAATGAAGAGTTCAGGTACTTACTTGCTTTAATTATAGGACAATACACCAATATTAAAAGTACGATTAAGCTCTGCAATTGATTAAAGAGAAAAATAATTTTTTTTTATTGAACAAGTGAGTTTGGAAAACTATATATATAGGTAATATATATTCAAAATAGAAGCTAAAGCGATTAAGTGTAGGAAAGTTAAAACAAGCACACATTTAAAGTCTCTAAAGTGAAAACTATTTTAGGAATTATTAGTCATAAAGATTTTCGAAAACTAGGCAAACTAGGAACAAACCAAACAAGCGATACGTTCGTTGTGGTATTGTACAGTGAAAACTCTATTGGCCAACCTTTGTCCGTCCAAGGAGATTGTCCGCTTAGAGGGATACTTAAATACTTAGTACACCGAATGAATGCAGCAGGAAAAGTTTTCGCCTGAGAGGGGTGTTTGGAGAAAAGAGGTGTCTATTAAGAGAGTTTTCACTGTACAATACCACAACGAACGTATCGCTTGTTTGGTTTGTTCCTAGTTTGCCTAGTTTTCGAAAATCTTTATGACTAATAATTCCTAAAATAGTTTTCACAATCCGAACAAATCCGACGCGCCAACTGCTTTTCATTTGCGGCAATCAAACCGCTCAAGATGCAGACGGCCTATCGGCCTAACCTATTAAGACCAATTAAAAAACGCCGCCGTTGCACCGACTTTGATTTTGTGCAATATTCAAATGGGCTCGTAAGTATAAAGCGCAGTGCAGGGCAATCGATTTGGTTCATTTCTGAGCAATATGTCGAGCACAACGGAGGAGCTGCCGCTCTACCTAACCCCACAGTTCTTTAAGCGAACTCTGGAGCACGGACTGCAGCAACAGGACTTGAAGGTATTGGATGTCCAGCTCAAAGATCTGACGCGCGGCGGAGAGAACTACTGCAGTAATATATATAGGGCACAGATCAAGTACCAAAATGCGCAATGCGAGCGGGTGGAGACGTCGCTTATAGTCAAGTGCATGCCGGAGGACAAGCAGGCTATATTGGCGCGTCTGCACATCTATAACAAGGAGACGATGTTCTATCTGAACATCAAACCCAAGCTGGAAACACTTATGTGGCATGTGGGGAAAGGCGAGCCATGGTCATTGGGTGCTGGGTAAGGGAGCACCGCCTGCCTAAGTGAATGTATTGCATTATTCTAGAGCTTAGTTCTTTGCACAATCCAGCCACTACTACTCCACTACGCAACCGGAGCAAACAATTATCTTTGAAGACCTCTGCAGCGACGGCTATCAGCTGAAATGCCGGCAATTGGGCTTGGACGGTGCCCACGCCTCGCTTGTTATGAGAAAACTAGCCCAATACCATGCCTTGACCATGGTCATGGCTGAGCGAGAGCCACAGACCATCATAGATCGCTACCCCTTTGGGCTGTTGCATATGGATGCCATTAAATCGGAGCCCTTTAAGTTGCTATTCGGCACCCAACTGCTCAAGCTGGCAGGCCTGGTCAGCGACTGCGACGGTTTCGGCAGCATTGCCCACAAACTGTATCGCTATCACGAGCATTTTACGGAGCGCGTACTCAAGGCCGTTTATCCCTTGAGGGGCACACTGAACGTTCTCAATCATGGTGATCTGTGGATCAACAACATCTTCTTCAAATACAACAAGCAGTATAAACTGGAGGATGTAAAGATAGTGAGTGTGGAAATACGAAGATAACAAGAAACACTAAACTCTAAACGTCATATTCATTTATTATGCGCTTTTTAGATTGATTTTCAGTTGTGCTTTTATGGCAGTCTGGGGTTCGACATCAATTACTTTCTGAACACCAGTCTCGATCTAGATGTACTCAGAACACAGCGGCAGTATCTTATAGATACTTATTACGATGCACTCATCGACTGCCTGAAACAACTGCCATTTAATGAACCTTTGCCCACTTACGATGCGGTTATGCAAGAAATACGGGCTCGTGAAGCATACGGATTCTTTGTGGCATTCGGATTCTTTCCACTAATGAGCATGATTGGCGTTGATTCCGAGGATAACTCTTTGAAGAATTTTCACGACGAGGAATTCGCCAGACAGAAGGTACAACTAATGTTTGAGGGTAATGCCCGTACTCTGGAAAGCCTCAAGTTTACGCTGAAGCGTCTCGATGAATTGCAGCTCTTTGATTAAAAACGCAATGCCATATTTCAATATAATCATTTCCACATGTGGTATGTGTTGCATGCAAAATAGAAAATAGACAGACGTCAGAATAAAATGCACATACACTTAGCTCTTAATTGAAAGCTGTCATTTATCTTTTCACGCCTTAGAGAAACAAAAACGAAATGCTCCATTGTATTTGCATTTCATGCAAATTATAGCGCTCGTGAATTATTTCATAAAGTCATGTCAATGCTTAATATGATAATGTTCGGCTGGGCCTCAAAACAGGTTCCTTACATCAAGACTCTTCACTTCTCGCTTTTGTAAAAATGTCAAATATAGCCGCCTAAATCATAAACCAAACCAATTAAAACAAACATACGTCTGAGGTTTTTAACGCAGTGAATCGTGCTCAAGAGAGAGATTTTAAAAGCCAGAGAGCAAATATCAAAACAAATAATATATAAACATACGTGTAAACAGAAAACTTATTTTTATACCCCCTTTAACTCAATTGAGCATTTTTTCGGATTTTTAAAATAGAAGAGAGCCGAAACTAATAAATTTGAATTTTTAATAGATTCTCGTGCTACTTGAATGTTTTTATTGCTCTCCGATACATTGACTCTATGGGCGCGTCATAGGCGTCACTTACGAAAGTCCAGACCTAACCCATCCACTATTGATTAGAAATCAAAGCAGACACACGCTCTGCATGACTGTGTGTGTGATTAAACGTACATACTTAGCTGAGGTAATCAAAAAGCGGAGGGCGGACACGGCGATAAGATAATTATAATAATAATAATAATTTGTACTCGTATATGTTTGCCATTTTAAGATACACTGTAATTTTCGCCAATTAACAACTTCCCAGCTATTTGTATCTTTAAAAAGCGAACCTTACTTACCGAAACACTATGGGGTAGATGGCAGAAATTTCGTACAAAAGCCCTATTTTTTACTTTATTTTATTATCCAGTCATTACTTTTTGTAGTAAGACTGAATAAAGGTGAAGAAAACTATATATACTTCTACTGGCTAATAAAACTTCCTCTACCTCAGCAGAGACTATCTTTTCGTATTATTTTTTATATTTTATAACCGTTTCATTGTTGATTCTTTAAAATATAATCATCAATTAATGGAATTCGTAATTTTCGTTTGTCACATAAATTTAATTAGGTTTGAATTGAAGTTCAATTAAAATCGTGAAAATATTTCAAATCGAGAGTAAATTAAATATGTGAAATATCCTTTTATTCGAAAATCTGTACACTGAAATTTAAAATTTGTGCCATTTCAATTATTATATTTTGAAAATATTTAATTCAGTTCCTTCAATTGAACAGAAATGCATATTTAGAGAGAAGGTGAAACATGACGAATGTAACAATTGGGATCCAAAATAACGTCTTTTGATCCCATAGTACAAATATGCCGGTAGAACACTAAGAAGATGAGCACAAGCGGGAAGTTGTCATAAAAGGAAATAGAAAAGCAAAGTAGTCACGAATATAGTAAAATAAGCAATCATAACAGAAAGCCTAAAGTTGCGTGTGTCCACGTCAAAATTTATAAAAGGCATCAGTATGTTGAATATTACGAAAAAATGCAACGTTTTAGTACGATTTATACCGAATGGCAATTAAGCGAAATGAAACACAGATCGTTTTATTAATTACCTCGGATTAAACGCTCAATGAAACCAGTAGCAGGCCGCCGATTTCTATATAAGCACCGACATCGTTCGGGTTGCTTTTCAAACAATTTACAATCGCAAGATGTGCAACATTGAGTACGACAAACTAATAGAAGCGCCGCCTAAGCATCTGGATGTGGCCTTCTTCGAGGAAGTAGTTGAAACGGCCTTGCGCACGGCCTTCGTCAAGATAAAAGGCATCAGCCTTACCCTGGGCAGCAGTCCTGGCGATAATTATTGCAGTCAAATTTATCGCACGCGTATTAAATATGAAAGGAACAACAATGGCAATAAAATCGAGGAGATAGCTGTAATCGTGAAGTCCATACCACGTTTAGAGTCCGTGGAGTTTATAGAGGACTTGCAAGTCTACCTGAAGGAGAGGATTACCTACCACGAGGTACTGCCCAAGCTGGAGGTGCTGCTGCACTGCAGGCGACGCTTTGGACCAAAGTGAGTGAATGAGTAAGCAGCTCAAAGGGAATGCCAGTAATTCCACACAGAGCGGATATTTCTTGAGTAGCTTATTCAGAAACAAATTTTTTTACTGTTTGTCATCATTATTTTTAAAGCTTTTTCAAAACTGCAGTTCTTTTTTAAACTTATGGATAAATGATATTGTGTGTTTCAAAACGGATTTACAAACATTTGTACATTCGCTGGCATTTTTTCAGACTCTTTCATTGCCTGAAGCGGCCAGAGAACTCGCTTGTGTTTGAGGATCTCAGTCAACTAGGCTATACAATGGCCTCGCGCGAATCCGGTCTAGATGAGACACACTGCCGCCTAGTTATGAAACATCTGGCGGAGTTTCATGCTGCATCCATGGCTCTAGCTTCTGTCGTAAGTCCCAAAGACACAAACCAAATAAAATAATGTAAAATCTTTACTTGCTTTCAGAACAAAACAATCTTTGATGCCTATACTGATGGCATGCTCTCGGCGCGGGGTCTGGCCAAAGCTGATGGCCTTCTTATGACCTTCTTTGCCGGCAATGGAAACCAATTACACTCGATGGTCAGTAATTGGGCCGGATTTGAACGAATTGCTGACAAAATCGCAAAATATTTGGAGCACCATCGCGCAAACTTGGTGCGCAGTCAGGCGCCAATTGATGACGAAATAAAGGTGCTTAATCACGGAGATCTGTGGGTCAACAACATGATGTTTAAATATGATCACGCGCATAAGCCACAGGATTTGATATTTATTGACTTTCAATTAAGCATTTGGGGCAGTCCGGGCATTGATTTGAACTACTTTTTCTACACAAGCCTCAGCTTAGACGTACTGCAGCACAAGCGTCCCGAACTCTTGAAAGTCTACCACGCCCGGTTGGTGGACACCCTGTTGGGCCTGGACATGGGCGTCCGCGTGCCCACCTACGAGCAGATAGTGAAGGAGGTGCAGCGGCGGGAGAGTTACGGATTCTTTGCCAACTATGGAATCTTCCCAACCATTAGCCAGGACAAAGCCCAAACAGGGGATAACAATCTCGATAGCTTTAACGATGCTGAGTTCGCAAAAAAGAAAATTGAGCAAATGTTTCAATCGCAGCGCCTGGTTGATACTTTTCGTTACACGCTTCCCCAGTTTGAACGTGCTGGTGTATTTTAAACATTTGTTACACTCACCTCACGATTAGAACACTTACATACATATATTATATAGCACTTTATATTGTTATTTAACACAAATAAAAAAAATTAAAAAAAAGACGCATTAAAATTCAGGCTTCATTCTTCTTATTCACAATAGAGCAATTTTACCGTTGCTATCAGTGTTGATAAGCGAGCACAACGCAGTACTGCCAACTGCGAAACAGTTTGTCCCAATGGCGCGCATTTTAAAACAGCACTGCATTCATTTTGATCGCTGTTCTGTTAAGTGAAAGAAAAAGTGATACTTATTTTTATTTCATTTCAACTACATTAACACACATAAAACTACACATAATAAAAAATGATTCGTGAATTTAGCATCACAGAAAAGTACGATACAATACATTGGTTATACATACATAAAATTTAGATGACTTTTTCTGTCAATCAATCTTACATTTCTCTCTAATTACACATAACCCATTTGACTAATCTAATTATTTTCCGGTACTTAGAAGCTTAAATATCCACGCGCGGTGGAACGACGAGCACATAGATATGAGATCAATACGATACAAATCAGAGCAATCAGGGATACACCCACTGCTATGGCAACCACATTTGAGGTTCCAGAGCTGTCGCAATCGTATACGGTTGAGAAATCTTTGTCCTTGCTGCGGAAGGCCTCAACCTGCACCTTTCCTATGCTAATACAGCCCACGACCTCAGTATCCTGTATTGTCTCGGTCAAATTGAAATGCTGATCGCGTGTGCAGTGGTACGAGTTATTGTTGGGAGTGCGCAGCTCATAGCCCCAGTGTAGCAACTGAACGGTTTCGTTGTCTGTATTAAAGAAAAATTTTCATCACAAATTTAATTTACTTAATCAATTTTGTGCATACCCTTAGCATCTGGAAAGTTGTCGCCCGTTATTGGTAGATTTATCTTGATCATGGAGAGCACAATGCTCATGTTTTTCTTATCGAATTGCATGGCCAACGAAGCTGGAGTTTGCGCAGGTCCCCAATTAAGTGCAATTCTCTGAATAGTTTCGCTATTGCAATCATCGCCAGCTACTTTTGCATCGCTGGGTATGTTGTAAAGAGCTGTGGCAACTTTTCCATCTATGTATAAATAGGCGATAGAGTTAGGTTTAACAGTAGAAGTATTTTACTGACTAACCTTTAGTTTCATAAGTCAAGTTAAGCTGTGCAGCCATTCTCAAAGCTATGCAGGAGGAGTTCCAGATGCCCGTGCTAGGTGCTGGAAAGGGCTGTGGCCTGTGCGTGGTTGTAGGCAACGGCTTAGGTGTGGTTGTTGTATTTGACCCAATAGTAGTCGATGTGGACATGCTCTTAGGTGTTGTTATTTCTGGCTTCTCCGACGGCTGCACAATAACTGCAGACTGCGCCCGACCTATGAAAGTAATGATATTTATCAGAACACACCCATATTCAAGTCCTCCCCACAGATGTGTGATATATGTATGTACATCTGTCCTGAACTTTGAACTCTACTTTATTTTAAATTAATTCTAGAATATATTCACACCCCCATACATACACATACACAATTGCAGCTCTATTTTGTACATATGCATATGTAATTGAATGTGAATATCCTTAAACTCACATCTAATACTTATACGATTATTTTAGGATGCGCAAAAACTGGTTCCGCATTTATGCAAATCAATAAACATTTAGCTTATCGCTAGTTGATGCGTAGTTTAACTTACAGTTAGAGCAGCAGGAAAACAGCAACAACAATATTGCAGAAGCTTTCACATACATAGTGCAGGATTATATTAGTAGCTGCCTATTATTATCTTATTATTTTCCTTATATGTGCGACTCGCACGATTCACACGAAAACAATTATAATATACTCGTATTTGTTATTCTTTGTCAAGTTTTTCTCTATTTCTTCTTCCAACTATGCACCAACTACAGCTGTCAGCTGATTCATGATAATCGACTTGTATTCGACTACTCGAGTACTGCTCTTTTAAACTATCGAATCAATGTGCGGTTATCGATAGAACAACAGCGCGCAAGCAATAGTAACTTTTTAAAATTCAGCAAGAAAATTCAGGCTTCTATGAAAATCGTAGTTTAATAAATAAAAACACCTCTGATTTTGTTTTTTGTTTATTTGGAATTACATAATTCCATATCAACATAATATTTTTATTAAATTCAGTAAAATTTTTTAAACATTTCTCATTTTAAATTAGTCATACACGTTTGTTTGTTTTTATTTGTTTAATGTTTATGTTGCCTTTTGTTGATCTTCTTGTTGTTGATGTTTAATCTTCTGTTTCTTGTCATTTATATTTATATGTTCATGTTAATGTTACTGCTTAAGTTCTTTTTTAAATTTCTCTTTTATTTATTGTTTAACTTAACTAATACAAAAGCAGTTTTTCATTTTGTTACACATTTTTACTATGATTTTTATGTAGCTTTTCTCACTTTGTATTATTTAATTTAGTTAATTTAAATTAAAGCAATTAGTTTTCATGTAATTTTTTTTATTCATTTACTTGAATTATAATTTTAAGTGACTAAATTTTCTCATTTTTATTGTGTACCCCTTTTATTAACTTGATCAATGTTCGCTTGTATAGTAGTCTGCACTTTCCGGCGCATCTCAAATTATAACGAAATTAGTTATTTATTTACTCGTAGGTTATGTAAGCTTTACTACTATTACAATTGCATTTTACTAAGGTTATTTTTGGTTTTCTTTTCTCTCTTTTCTTTTAACTAAAATTTTCTTATGTTTTACTTAGCCGTTTTACATTGAAAAGCTGTTGCAAGTATTGCGTTTTGTTTTGAACAATTTTAATTTTTTTTTTTCGTTTTTTTGTGGGTTTTATTTGAAACGTCAATACATGCATGAAAGTTTGCCAAGATTTGTTCATTAATTTAATAATATTAGTACTCATACTTAAATATAATTTACATGCTGCTTTTTAACTTTTACATATATATTTATATATATACCTTTATGTTATGCCTTAGGACTATGTAGCTTTACTTGAAATATTTATATATATTGTGATTTTTGTTGTTGTTTTTTTTTTCTCATTTTGCATTGCGTTTTGTTGTTCTACAGCGCTTCTAAATTTTGCCATAATAATTTTATATAATTGCTAAAACCAAATGCAAACATAGTTGTAAACAATTTAGTGTGTCATTATACATATGTATGTATATATTTTTTTATTATAAGATTTTTTGCTGAATTTCTTTGCTGTTTTTGGTTTCGTTTTTTTTCTGCTGCCGTCTCGCACGTGTTGCTTGCCGCTTTTGGATGAATTTTGAAAATTGCGCACTTGGCGCTGTATGCTGCAGGTGAATAGGTTTCTTAGCCTGGCTAAAATGTGGGCGTGGCACGGCCTTAGTAGCCACATGACTGTTGAATGCTGGCGAACATAGACTCGCGTTGAGTCGACCGAAAGGGAAAAGTAACGCTTTCGAAATTGGAAAACAGTCAACAATGCCTGCACGTCTGATCTAGTAAATAGTATTTCGACATATAGCATATTGCATAATTGCGGGAATTAACGGCGCAAAGCCAAACTATACAAGTATGTACGAGTAACATGTTAGATGTATTTAGATACTTGCATTATTACCAAAGGTGCTTTCGGCCTTTTTGGATTTGCTGTTGTAGTTGTTGTTGTTGCTGTCGTTGCTGTTGCTGTTACTGGTCTTCTGTCGCTCCCCACACACAAAAAGTAATTTTAGCTGTGTTTCACATACACTTGGTGTAAAAAATGGCAGTTTATATGTATACATATTTATATATAAGTATATATATAATATACTTTTGTTTTGTTAAATATAATGCTTTTAATTGTGTGGTAGTAGTTTGCCGCAGGCAGCACAGCGCAAAGTGTGCAAGTGTTGTTAACTTTTGGTGCCAGTTGCTAGCCGCTAACTAAAATGTTGTGGAGTGCCAATAATATTTTATCATTTATTGGGGGGTTTCGATGCACGCGCTAGAGGGTCAAACATTTACTTGGCAGTTTCTCATTTTATATATTTATATATAATAAAATGTATTTTCATTATAAGTTGTATATATTACCTATATAACCTACTAATATTTATCGGCGGTTTTGGGAACACACTTAGCCGGGTCAAAACGATTTCAAATAGAATTTTGTGCGTAGACATTTGTTGCCTCCCTTTTAACAGAAAACACAAACAAAAAAAATGCTACAAATGCCACAAATAAAACGAACATCAATTGAATATAATCATCGAAATATATTTGAATTTGGATAAAGCAAATCGGAATAGGTTTGGCTTGCCCCAACTGCACCAAAAATGTATGTTGTTCTTTCTTTTTTTAATGCATTTATGTATATATTCTACCATATAGTATATATGCTTGAATAGTGCGACAACACGTGATTCGATTCGGTTTCTATGCAAATCGCAGCGTTTCGTTAGACTACTAAACTAGTTGCCTTCTCTCATTGGTTTTCAACATTTATTCATTCATTCAATTATTCATTTATTTATTAATTTGTTCATTTTTTAAGCTTATTCATATGAAAAATATGCTCTATTGCACAATTTGAAAAAAAAACTCTAATTATTTATTATTTTTGAATTGTATTTAATCAGAAAACGACACTTGCTTTCAAAATTCATTTTTATTTAACAAAAATCTGAAGAAATGAAAAGTAACATATAATATAATGCGCCTTGCTGGAGCCTACACTGGACTTATATTCGAACAATTTGCTTTAAAATCTCTAAAGGATTGGAATTCCAGTTGAGGGGTTGAACGAAAGCTGAAAGGACCTGGCTTAAGCCCCGTTTTTAGTTCGCCTCAAATCAATGAAAATGTTTGGTTCGCCTATATTTGTTGTTACATAGAAATTTATTTCGTTTTATGAAGAATTTTATTAAACATCTTTATGCATTATACTCGTATATGTATACATATTTATATGTAAACTAATTTATAGCGCTCTTGCTGTTATTTGTTTGTTTTGTGGCAAAACTGCATAACATTTTCTGTTAGTTTTAGTATTTATTTAGTTAATACCGCTGCTTCTTACACATTAAACTAGTTGAGTGGATGGACAAAGGGGTTAGTAGTTATGTTTTGGTATGCAATTTAAGATCTTTTTTTTTTTTGAGTTTTTACTGAATTTTTTTTGTTTTAAGAAGAGCGAGAAAGTTTGTAAGTTACTTGAGGCCTAGCATTGTTTGTTTTTTTTTCTTTTTGTTTTGTTTTTAGAGTCTACTAGTAGTTATCGATTTAAAGTTTATGTTAGTCAGCATGTGTGGGGGGAGGGAGGGTAAACTAAAATGCAATATATTTATAAATAAACTTGAGTGTTGACTACACTTTTTATTTTTTCATTATCAACTAAGCACTTTTGTTACATTTTCGTAAATATTTTATGTTCTCGTTTCGTGTTTTGTGTTTTTTTTTTTTTTTTTTGTGATGGTGGGTGTCTGGGCTTGTTAACCTTATCAGTGGGCTTTAGAAGCGGTATCTGTGACTATATACTGTTTATAGACGTCGATCGGTGCTACTGCTGCTGCTGATTGCATTGCATTAAGCACACACAGATGGATACTGCCTCAGGATAGTTAGTGGGTTGCTGGCTGGGAACTAAGCTGCTGCTCTTTTGAAAAATATCAAACGGTTTGGTTTTGTTTTTTGTTCTGTTTTTTGTTTTTTATTTAGTGGAATTAAGTTGCTTTATTATTATGAATTCTTCTTTGGGTTTTTGTATACATAATATATTCTAAATTTATATGCTCTTTTGTTTTTATTGTAACCAGTTACTCTGTACTTTACGTTCAGCTATATCTTTTATTTGTTTGTTGCCTCAATAATGTTTTCATTTTTTTCCCTTTGACCTTCGGATTTCTTTTAGTTTTATATTCATTTTTCAATAATAAGTGAAGAGTATTCATTTTCATGTTTAATATGTCTCTCTGCGCTTTTCATTTTATAATTAATTTATTTAATGCATTGTTTTTTTTTATTACACCTATTAACTTTTGCTGCTGTTACTGTACTTCGTCGTTTTTGCTTCGGCTACTTCATCTTCTTCTTCATTATTTATTATTTAAAAATCTATAATTATATTACGCTTTAGAAATCCTTCAATGAAACGCCCTTCCTTCCTTTCCTTCTTTCCAGCATAGCCTTAGCTTTTCCTTTTCCTTTCGCTGTTGCTGTTCTTTTTGCCTTTACTTCCGGTTTATGGTGTTATTCTTGCTGGTTCCTTTAAAGTCTGCTTAAATGTACAACAATTGCTGCTTCTGCTTACGTTTTACCTCGCTCTGGGTGTAGTGGTAAGGGTCTATTCATTATTTATATATATGTATATATATACGTCTTCAATTTTACAATTTATATATATCTATATATATATATATATATATATATATATATATATATATATATATATATATATATATATATATATATATATATATATATATATATATTTAGTTTTATAAATATAAATAATTGTGTTGATTTTAATACGTTTAACTCTTCTTCTTCTTCTCCTGGTTTTAAGTACAGTTGCTGCTTTGTTTTAAGTTTTTGTTCGCTGCGCTGTTGTCGTTTATATCTTTAAAAATTACACCAAAAAAGTCAAATTGTTAACAACAATTTCAATACAATATTTGCGCTAAATTTTGTTGCTTGCCAATTTGCGGCTTTTGCCCTTATTTTTCATTTTGTTTTTCTTCGCCTAAATTGGTATTAAAATAAAATTTACCTAAAAGATGAAGGAGCTTGGTGGTTGAAAGCGTTAATTAGTTTTGCCTCCATTATAGCGCTAGTGTCTTGTCTTCTTTATTATTATAATTGTTATTATTATTATTATTTTTATTTCTTTTGTAGCCCATTACTTGTTCATTTCTCTTTGGTTGTTGCTGTATCATTTGGGATTTGTTATTACTTAAGCTTTTTGCCTTTTCTACTTACGTGTGTACATATGTGTGTGTGTGTGTTTTTATATGTGTGTGGGTGTGTGTAGTAATGTGTGAGTGGCTGCGTGTGTGTGTGTGGTTTATCTTTCTTCTTTCCTCACTATTATACTTTTTTTGAATATTTTTTTAAATCGTTATTTTTTCTTTAATTTCTAGCGCGCTGACATTGCTTTCGCTACGTTCTTAATGGTTTTTCTTATTGTTGTTGCTGTTGTTGTTGTTGTTGCTGTTGCTGCTGCCTTGTTTTTTCTTAGTCAACCATCAACTCGAAGTGGACGGAGCCTCTCCTTTCCGAACGATCATGTATGATATTGCGTGCCCAGGCTTTGCATTCAATGTTGATCAAGACGCCGGCTATGGATTTAGAAAAAACAAAGTGAGATAAAGATAAATCAGTATAAATAGTTCTTTGATTTTCTTAAATACTAACAAAATAATCTAAATACATAAGTAATTGAACATAATTGTCAAATTGTCATTTGAAGGATCGTTCTTTCACGATGTTTGGCTAACGAGCAAAATTCTTGACAATATAACCCAACCTAACTGTGAACTACAACATTCTTATGTATATTTTTGTCCTCATTTAATTTATTGTATCTTCTCTATGTTATGTTAAATGCCTTGGAACTATTCTGTTGAACTGTTGGGATAATATGTCGTTTTTATTAATTTTAAAAAGAAAGCAAACAAATATATATATGAATACAAATATAAAAGAAAACTGTCATAAGACATTACTGAACTATTGATTTTCATGAAATTTCTTCACAAAAAACTACTCAAAATTAAAATACATTGTTCGCATTAAGTGGCGTTAAAATTTGTTTCTTTTTCGCAATTTCCATTTGCGTTCTTTGGAGTACTATTAATTGTGTATGTGGCACGAAAAAAGGCTGAGGGCCCCACTGTGCGACGCAACTTGGGTAAAATATGAAATGTGTCAGACGAGTGACAGGCCTCGCAGGCCATACTACGCGTTATCCTTCGCCTGCGTCTTGCCCGCCATTCTTTCTGTCAGCCTGCCAGGGTCCCTTTGGCATAACTATGAGAAAATTGAAAATCCTTCACAGCTTGGCATTCTTTTCTCTCCACTCTACGAAGGAGTGGCTTACACAATGAGACTAACCCCAATACTTTAACAGTCCCACTCACTGCTTACATAACGAATTCGACGTGCGCCCTGAAAAATGATATTGAGGCATTTCCATCAAATAGATTTAGAAATGAGTGTGATTGATGCAAACAAAGGACATCAAATAAATATGAACGCAATGTGAACAGCAGGTGGTTAAGTGTTTGACGAAGCTGTTCGAACCAAATGTTCGACTTAAATAATCCTTTAAAGATAATTGCAAAGTTGGAAAAACTCTCTGAATTCAGAACGAAACTTTAACTGAAGAATAACTACTCCAAATATCACAACCCAAATGTCAGATAAGATGAGAAAAGAGTCAAATATTTCGGTACAAAAACCTTGTAATTGGTAATAAATAAATAATGTTCGTTTTGAATAAACTAAAATATTCGTTTCTTAAAACTTCCAAATTCTTACTAATAGCACGTTTGAAGGTATATTTTTTTTCTTTATTGCAACATACCAATCTAAACTGTTAAATGAATACTATATGAAAATAAAAAGCATGCGTTAATACACAATTGAAAGTTCTCAAAGCTGCTTAGCTGGTTTTTGTTGCCCTACTTGCATATTTTACATATCCTTTGCATCGCTCAACATTTCAACTGCCGCCCAAGCCAGTCCGACTTCAACCCAATTGCTTGCTAAGCAAATAAAAACTACGGAACTATGAGTATTCTACTGAACAAGTGGCCCCACAATATACAGACATCTGTATGTATGTATGGCACTATTCTATTCCTTTGCGTCCTCTTTCACAGAAAACATTTATTAATGTTTATTGTGCCGCAAAATTGGGTTGCCAACGGCTCCTTCGGCACTCATCTTCACATTTTTAGGCTCTATTTTGTTCCGCGCTGGAATAGATTCTTCTGTAGAACTACTATTGAAAGGGAGCAACCATTTATGCTACCGTTATCCGCTTCAAAGGACATTTGTCATGAGTTTGATAAGCATTCCAGCTCCTATTGTTCTAAATATTTAGTAGGGATGAATGGGTGTGGGGTTGGCTTTTGTTTGCCGATTATTGGAGCGTTCAAAGCTACTAAAACGTTTAGAACAATATGAGAAGATGGAGCGCCAATACATACACTTTACATGCTATATATATACTTGATGTTATTATCTGATACTATTCCCTTTGTTCACGAGGATCAGCTTATTTGTATACTTTTTCTATAGCTAATATAATAAAAGGCTGTTTTTTGCAAAGTTCGAGAAGAAACATTGCTAGGAAAGTAATATTTGTTTGTCCATAAAAATAGCTATATTTTTAAATATTCAAATTGCAAGTTTAGTGAAAGTACATATATCTCCACTAATTAAATAAATAAATGATATGAGCAGCTGGTGCAAAATGTTGCTTGGAGAGGCAGAAAATACAATTTGGATTAAATTGTTTCCACCCGACACTTGAGGCACCCGTGGTCATAAAAATCAGATTAGGTTGCCTACTTAAAATGCTACGACCATGCCGAGGTGCCGCGAGGGGTCAGTTTGGGTCGCTTGTGTTTTTGTGTCCGTTGTTGGGACAAAAACAAAAACCAACACAATTATAGAACATTCGTTTCTACAAGTATGCTGAAAATTGCTGAGTACTTACTTTCAACGGTAAACTGCACGGCAACAATTGGCGGTATATAGCCCTCGATATTTTTGAATGGGAAATAGAAGTGCGGGAAACCCATGCGTGGATAATAGTCACGTGCCTTTATGTTCTCAACATCAGCGGGGTTCTCGCCTTCGCAGGATACCCAAACAACTCCAGTCTATTTGCGACAGAAAAAAGAAAGAGCGAATAAAAAGAGTGATAGAGATGGGACGATTAAAAACAAAATTTGTAACCCCGCAACATTCCATTTACCTCATTTGGTCGCAGGCTCTGCTTCTCCTTAATGTGATTCTTCAACTCTTCAGGCATGTGTTCAGGCAAAGATTTTGAATCGTTGTAAATTTCTGGTATCCAGTTGTAAATCTGTTCGGCAATAAGTGGAATTATAAGAACTGTTGATATTGGGTATCCAGTGAATGCCATTTACCTTATTCAACTTGAGGAATATGCAGGGCCGGGCCACATTATATCCAAACTTATTATCCAGAGTGCAGGGCGCAAATCCAAGCATGTCGATGCCGCACACTTTGCCTTCTGGAGGCGGATGTTCGAAGGAGCAGTTCACATGATTCCTGTTGGGTAGTTCCTCATAAGCTGCGCAGGAATACAAATGGATTTAGTATCGAATATGAACATTCCTTTCTAGCAATATGTTTGGCATGTTAAGTAGCAAAGTGGCATTTAGCTTATGCTACTCGTGGAAATTAAATAGCACAAGTCATCGCTAATCGTTAGCTTACTGAGTTATTATAAATAAATTGACTTACTATGATCTGAAAACATTTACAATCGTTCCAAACACAAAGTACAAAATACAATTTTGTTAATTTATACACATAAACATATTTCAAATATCTCTGAAATGTTTCAGCTTTATAATAAACAATCAAAAACGAAGCTATTCCATATTTTATGAGCAGATAATTCTGCTAAAAAAAATTCTTGTGGATTTCAAAAGACAAAAACACTCTTGGTTATTTGAAAAGTATTAGCATACTTACATTTCAAAAACCTTGCAGTTTCGTCAACCCAATACTTATAGTTATCTTCCTTCGATGACTGATACCAAACTAAAGTGCTCTCAACATTGGCCTCTGGTGGCATGGGTCGGAAACCAAGACCTGTAAACAAATCAAACCAAATTAAATTCAATTAAAATACAAGTAGTATATTTTAAACAAATATACAATTTAACCGATAATCGACCATTAGTTGCATTTGCTTCCGATTAACTTTTAAAAAGTACTCGGAAATGCTAACAATCCTGCCATGATTACCCTTTTCAATCAAGGGGGCTGTTCTAGTTGTGTTATTCACATTTGGGATGAAAAGGTCATATTAATACGAACGATATTATTTTTAGCGGAAACAGCAAGGGGGAAAGGTCATCTGGAGGTGGAGTCAGTGTGTAAACTATTTTATCGCAGGCTAGTAGTCTGCCTAGCTGGCAAAAGTTAACAGTGAACAGGCGATGTTGCACCGACTTAATTCTATTACTTTCACTTAATTCTGGTTAGCGTTGTTGCCTTAGGCACATTCGATTAGTAAATTAAATATTCTTTTATATTTAGGCTAAATTATTCATTTCACTTTTATTGGACGGCTCATTTCTAATTCAGCACATGTGTCCATTGATGTTTATTGGCCTGCGGCAATGCTGGGCGTGTATGCTTTTTATCGTCCTTTTTGTTTTTGTCGGGCTTGGCCCTTGATTATTATTAATATGCATACATATGTAGGTATTTTATGTGGCTGGAGACCGAATGTTGGCCAACTTGCCAATACTTGCACATGTTAATTTAATTTTGGGCGTGTTTATTTTTCTTCAAGTTGAATGAACTCGATTTGAGTTGTTGAAACGTAAACTTACCCGGGTTCGAGCCGATCAAACCATTCTCGAGCATCCACTTGGGCTTGTCACCCTCCAATGTTTGATAAAATACCGCAAATATGGCAGCGAAGAATCCAGTTAACGCCGCATAAAATATTATATAGAATAGTAGAATTTTTGCTAAAAATAAAAACAGCGTACAAAACAAATATGAAGAATTAGTCATATTTTCAATATTTATAGTATTTATATAATACAAGTAGATATATTCATGTATGTATGTATGTATGTTAAAATGTTTTTTTCAAAGCAATTATATTCACACACACACAGACGCAGCAAGCCCACATGCTTACTTCGCGGCATACTTTCAGGCGCCGCATGTTTACGTCAAAATTAATTTACATTCCAAACAATATATGCGCGCGTTTCATTGCTAATTAAAGTTTAATAACAAGCGTCCACATTGAAGACAGTGCTGTTAAATAACGATGACGCGGCGACTGTGGCAGAGATACTTATTTGTATTTCCCCCACTTGGGCGGAATGTGGAATTAAAATTAAATGAGAAATAATGTGGAGGCCGTAAGCCCCTTGTTCAACATTATCCTGATTTAAGGATAGTAAACACTGTGACACAGTCGCGATTCTACAGAAAACATCTGCGATATTAATTAAATGGTTATGAACGAACGATTGTGTAACATATGCATGAGAATTTATTTTCTTTCAAGTATTTATAAACATTTATTTCAGCCAGAGGGCAGGCAGCATTTAATAAAAATATTGTAACATAGTAACAGAAACTATAGTTGAATGTGAGTAAAAAATGTTACTGTACGGAATAAAATGGACGAACAGATTGTATAACATGCCAGAAACCACAAACTGAAACACAAAAGCGTTATTTTCTTTCCCCCTTTTTCATTTGTTAGCTTGTGCGAGGTTGTAGCTATTTTTGTCATCGCATTGATTTCATGTGCTTTTCATGTGAAAGCCACTTAGTCGCAATGGCTGTGCCAACATACAAGTACACATACACATTCGCACATGTGTATGTGTGTGTGTGTGCACCACTACTACCATATGTGTGCGCTCTGCTCTCCCGGCCTTTTGTACATGATGTATAAAATGATTATTTTTTTTTAGTTCTCCACCACCCTAAGCGCTTTTTGTGGCTGCTTTCTGTATGGCCCATAATACATGGCGTACTATGTGTGTGTGTGTGTGTGTGTGTGTGGGTGCATGGGTGTTTGTGCGTGGGTCTCATTTCAAAATGTATAATGTAGTTTAATTTCAGGATGCTTTTAGTGTAATTCTATACATTTATTCATATACATACAAGTATGTATACTATGTATTTTATTTAAAGGCCATTCAAACTGTTTTGGCTGCCCTTTAAATGCTGCCATCAACATCATAGTTGCCGGACCTTGTCATAAACTTAATACACACACGCACACACAGGCATACATGATCACAGATTTTGTGCACTTCCGCTTTGGGCAATTTCCGTTCTATTTGATCACGCACGCCTTCGCATGCAATGCAAAGTGCAACATTTTCGAGTAGTTACAAAGTTTTTTTCAAAAGTTTCAAAAGTTTACTTGAAAATACTTTGTTTTGTAAATATATTTCAATAAAATGTGGAAAAGTAGGAGAGAGCTCTTTAAACTGAGCTTTTGAGTGTGTGGTATATAAAGTTATAATTAGCTTGCAAAGTTTCCTATAAATGTACATTTTAAATTCCATTACTGAGCTTGAAATTGCTGTTCAGTTTTTTAATCTTTTCTCTAGCCAAGATTAAAGATTAAACGAGAAAGTTTTCTTTTAAAAACCTTGCAATGAATGAGTGTAGATTTAGAGAGAGCTTAGTAAAACTTTCAATTTGTATTCAAAAATATTAGGCTTGGCTCATTTAACTTATTAATAGAAAAAGGTGCTCTTTTTAATAATCATGGAACTTTGAAAAAGAGCTGGGTTGAATAAGCTCTTAGCTGTCAATCGAATTGACACTTGCAGATATACAAGTAGATAGATGAAAAGGATAAAACCATTAGAAAATCTCAATAGAAGTTTTTAAGCAGACACACACCTACGTTCGACTTTTGACATTTACTTGCCGGCTCGTACTCACCTTGGAGGTGCGTGTTTCTGTGCGTATTGTTGAGTGTTGGGGTTTGGGGTTACATGGGCGAGTCCTTTCTATGCGTTCGTTCTCTTCTGCCTGCGCTCACTGGTTTGTCATTTTGACATTTCGTTTTTTTGTAATTAGGAATGATTGAAATGTCGTTCCGTGCAGGAAATTGCATTTATTTTTATTCGCTACTTCTTTTCAACGCGCTCCTCACACTCTATATCCTTTCCCCCTACTACTGCCCCCATGGCACCACCCTCTCACCCAAACCATCTCTTGAGCTGCGTTCTGCTCTAGTCTGCTATTTCCAGTATTGTTAATTGCATCTGTGGTCGAGTGTGAGTATTTTTAGACGCAGCTTTGTTGAACTTTGACATTTTTGTGAGTAATATTGCAGAAGCGCTTTCGACCCCTAACCACAAAATAGGTCAACTGGCCGCCAACGTCATGGTTGCGGCAATTTCGATTGGGATTCGCGCTAATTTTTTATCAGCATGCCAACCGGGAAATAATGAAATAAATCATTCCAGGAGATAAACGTTACACATACATTATGGCCAGTCATAAATCATAAATAAATTGCCCGTGGGAAAAACAGTAACAAGCCAATGAGAATAAATCGCGTTCATTCATTAAAGCGCTTATGAAAACTTGTTATTCAAAGAGAATATTTTCTTCGAATATAAGTGCATTTGTACTGAAATAAAAACATATTTAATACTTAATTATTTGACAATCAAATAGGGAAAAAACTTTTCACTTTCTAATCTAATTTGAAGATAACTTTTCTTTGGAGTTAAATAGAATTGTAACCTTAGTGCCAGTTTGAAAAAATAAACATAATAGAGCAAATATTAAATTGAATTATTCCCCATTTAATTAGTAAATCATTACCATGCAGGTGTATACTGCTTGTTACATCTTCTTCTATAAAAGTACATTTAAAATGGTTAGGCCTTTTTATTTTAATTGCAATTTTTCATTGTCTCTGCCTTGTCGTTGAGCATTTAAAATGCAATAAATCATGTGCTCTACTGCAATTAAAGGCCGCCGCAAACATTCCCACGGCAATTCGAGCGAAAAATTAACTGAAAAAAGTCAAAGCCCATTCGTCGGCCACAAACCATATGCTTTCCACAGAGCAGACTTACATAATTTCCTTAGGGTGACAGTAAAGTTAGGTTTATATTCGCATGGTAACACAAAAACTAAACTCAACTGAAGGTGGTGGGGGGAGGTGGCATGGCTTGTAATATGGAAGTTGGAAGCTTCACATTTTTGCTGTTTTGCTTTTTATTACAAATTTCCCCCGGTCTTCCTCTTATTTTTCCTTCAGCTTGCGAATATTGTTGTTTGTGTGTGTGTGTGTCTGTGTGTATGTGTGTGTGGACTTAACGAGCTGCCTACTTGAGCTTAATGTTTTGGGTGTGTGAGTGTTGGTGCTCAGGCAAGGACTAGGCCTGGATAACTGCCTTTTTAGTAGACATGAGTGGGTGATATAGTTTTATTATTTTTTCTTCTCTTAGCATTAGGCTACCTGGCGCTTGGCATTCAGATGTCATTGGACGACAGAACACTAGCAGACTTCATTTACATAATTAAAGGAAATCGCTTATTAATATTATAAGCTATTTTAAAAGTTTCAAATGCGTTCAATCTAATAATTGATAGAGTGATATTATTTGGTAAACATTTGATTTATAAAAAACAAGTATTATTTCAGACTAACTACAATTATAAGCTACAGACTTTAGTTCAAATAGAAATAGAAATAAAATAAAAACCTGGTTTTCAAATTCTATTATGATTATAAAATTTGTTTTTTAAATAAAATTGTGTTCTAAAATGCCTCTTTTAATAATAAAAATAAAGTACAAATTTTCTGCAAAATATAATTTTATTTTCTTAACAATTTTTTTATAATTTTCCAAAGCCCTATTTTATATTTGTGTTTTAATATATAAGGTCCAATATTATTATTAAAACAGCAATTTTCATATACACTCGAATTCAGAGCATATTGAGAATAATTACAAAACTCGAAATTTAAAATAAAATAATAAAGACTGGGGTTCTAAAGAACAGGACCTACCCCAACCTACAAGAGTGCGTCTCTTTTCTTTTATATATGCACATAATACGTTATGTATTTGGCGCAGCAGTACACACCCCTCACTTCTTCACGGACCTACGAGGCTGACTGGGAATTGTAATTCATTAATTTGAAGGTGCGCTCTGCTGTTAGGATTGAATTTTGAAAGGCCAACCATGGGAGGTAAAAAATAGGCTCGTCCAGCCATTTGGTACACGCCTCGAGGAGCTCACAAATTTATTCACACACACCAAGCCTACATGTGTGTGTGTGTGTGGCAGTAGAAAAAGAATTTAAAATCCATTCGCACACCTGGCAGGCAAAAACGTTTTTTTATATTACGTATACGCAGTGTGGTGCGCATGTGCGCGCTCTTTTCGAGCTGTGTGTATAAATGTGTGTGTGTGAATATAAGGGGGCGGGGGAATATAGAGAGCTTCTCTCGCATTCGCGCTGTGAACTTTGACATTTGCACAGCGCCAGTGCGCCAAATTACAGCAACAACAACGACAACGACAGCAGCAGCAGCAGCGGCTGCACTTTATGCCACAATAATGTAACGAGCTCGGCATGTTTATCTGTGCGTGTGCGCGCTCGTGTGTGTGTGTGTGTGCAACACACATTTTTCAATTTTACCTCGCCGTTGCCAGTTTGCTGGCGTTGGCGTAACATTCTGACAGTTGCAGAAAACATATACATATTTAAGCGAGAAATGCTTCTTCGCATACACACATACCCATAGCACATGTACGCTCATAAATACATATTTGCACATACATACATAAATACATTGTACATACATACGTACACACATACAACTGTCAACAGCATGAATAGAGTGCCGCTGGCAGACACACTCCTAAATATATGAATACAAGTATATGTATATAGTATATGTATGAACGGATTCATGTACCTACAAGTAGAATGAGTTCAAGAAGACGATATATT